TAAGAACTGAAATGGTGGTGACGACAACGACGACGATGATGACTATAACGATGATAATGAGGAGTGACGATGATGACGATGCAACAGACCATTCACAGTGGCCAGGATACCGCGGACCAACCTCCTACTGGTGGTGGTCGATGGTCTATGCAGGTGTGACGTCATTGAACAAATAACCAACTACCCGGAGAGAGTTCATAGTGAGTTGTTGATGATGACGACGACGATGATGAAGATGGCGATGGTGATAGAGAGGATGATGATGATGAAAATGGCGATGGTGATAGAGAGGATGATGATGAAATATGATAAGAATTATATTCTTGATAATGATGACTGTGATGAGTGCGGTGAAAATATGATACTTTGGATGGTAATTTAGACTAAAAATGTTCGATTGTTCTTAATTTTTTCTTTCTGCTAGTTGTTTTCTTACATGTTGTTCATTGCTAGCTTAGAAAAAAACTTAAAATACAATCGTTGCAACAACATTCCCATCACGTGACTTACATTAATTCTAACACATTTGTACGTCACTCGAATGCGCTCCACAACAAACAACTCAAAGACAATCCTACCATCTGAGCTAACCCTCAAACTAACAAAATCGAGTAACAATCAAAGTGATTGGAATGATTAAATACCCCCCACTCTTTTCCAGCGGACACATGTGACCTTTCCTCACCACCTCTGCCTCGGTTGGTCCCTACGGACTGCTACGCAACACACTCTAATGTTAGTTGATGATGATGAGGATGATGATGATGATGTTAATGGTGTCAGCAATCTAAAATAATTTTTCTAAAAAGTGACATTAACGATAGTTTTAGTCAGTTTACGTATGGTTTGTTGGAGAAGTTGATATATGCTATTTTGTTTGAGAATGTTATGAACGATGTATTATGAATTTAATTATCATAATTTATTAATCATTCATTAATCATGATGTTCGCAGGAAGCTCCGACCAAATGTGGTAGCTCCGCCTCCTCATCTCATCATCATCATCATCTCTACTCTCATCATTATCATCGCCGTCATCATCATCATTTCCATCATCATCATCATGACGTAATCTTCTTAATCATATCAATTTTCCAGATTGCTCCGGTTAACATCATCGCCATCATCTTCACTTTCTCCATCGTCGGTTCATCATCATTATTTATATCACCATTCTCGTCTTTATCAACATAGCCGATGTTATTTTTTTCCTGTGTTTTATTATCATTTTTTTTCATTATTATTATTTTTTAATAATTTTGCTTATTATTTTGGACCAGTCTGCAGTTAGTTAAATTACTCATGGTTGAAATGATGGAGATACATGTGGTGAAAATAATCATTGTAGATTATTATTATTATTATGGCATTATTTTTCTTATTATTATTTTATACTTTTTGTTTCAAATTATCTCAGTCTAAATTTAACATAATCCTGGTTGGTTTTAGCCTCAGTTTTTTCAGTTTAAACAATGGCATATTTACATTTTTTATATTTTAAAATTGATTTTTTTATGTTTGGAGATAGGCTCTTATCTACCATTGTTATCATTAATTCAATTTTTAATTGTTGTTATATTATTACTAAAATTCAAAAAAATTCTTAGTTATAAATACCCGTTTTAAAAGTTCATTAAAATATTTATAGTAAACTGTAAAAATTATTCAGTACATTCAGGCGCACATATACACACATACACTAACACGTATATACACAACAACACACACACATACAGTTTTACACACACACACTCACGCACACACACGCAAACATACACACACACACAAGCACTTACTGCAAATAGCGAACCAATTTGCACCCACGTTCGCTGGTAAGAACATCGTTAATGTTATGTTGGTATGTGTATTTATGTGTTGGTATGTTTGTATATGTATGTGTGCATATGTATGTGTGTGTATGTATATGTGTGTGTTTATGTGTGTATGTTTGTTTATGTAAGTTTGTTTGTTTGTTTGTTTGTTCGTTTGTTTGCCATTTGTAGACATATTAATGAATGAATCACTGTGCGTTCTTTATAAAATCAGCATATAAATGTAGTGAGAAACATTGAAAACTTTGATTGAGATTTTTATGATGAACTTGTAGTTTTAATTCATTCATTAATTTGTTAATTGATTGAATAATTGCTTGATTGATTGAATAAATAAGTGATTGGTGGATTGAATGATTAATTAGATGAATTATCTAGGTTACTGATTGAACAGGTGAGTGAATGTGTTTGATTGTGATTGAATGATTGATTGATTGATTGTTTAGCTGATTATTTGGCTGATTTGTTGATTTATTAGACTTCTAGGAACATGACAATTTATCATTAATTTCTAATTTTTGTTTATTTTGTTTTGTTTTTTTATTTTGTTCGCTCTGTTTACAGAAAATTTTAAATTGAGATTATTCTGTTATTAATGATTTAGATAAATTAATAACTCGTTTACTTATTAAATAATCGTATTTTTTATTTATTTATTCATTCATTTATTCATCTTTTCATTCATTCATTCATCCATCGATTCATTCAATCATTCTTCCATTCATATATCCATTCACTCATTCATGAAACCACCGCGTATACTGAATCAGGTGGAAATTATTTCGAGCGAATAGCCTACAAATTAACATTATTCATTAATTTTTTTATTGGTAAATATTAATTAGATGCTAATTAAAACCCTGCCTATAAACTGCTTAATTTATTCTATCCATCATATTGAATGTGTGTTAGATTTCGTTTTTTTTTTATGTAAATTTTTCAATGTCCATACCCTGAATGTTTAATAAATTAGATGCGTTTAGATTTATGTATTCGAAAAATTATTAATATCACATTTATAATTAATCTACATTAGCGTGTTAATGAGATTATTAATAAAAATTTAGTGTAATTATTGATCTTTACGATTTTTTTGCTGGTTTTATTATTGTTTTGGTCAATTTTCTTTCTAATGACCATAATTAATGTCAATGTCACGTAACGATTTTTATCCTCAACCAACCAAACCATCTATCGAAGTTTCATAACATCTAGGAGTTTGTCGTTAACATTAACTTTTGTACTACTTAATACATTTTTTATACAATTTTATAAGTGTGCATTTTTTCTAGAAGCGCTTTTCTGATAACGTAATTGCAGATACACACATCCACATATCCACACACACCCAAACAAACACACACACACAGACACACAGACACAGACCTACACACACACAGACACACACACACGTACAAATTGTGTGCATGTCTGTCTCTTTCTCTACTTTTCTATATTTTCTCTCTTTTTCTCTCTCTCTCTCTTATACTTACCTGTCCACACACACACACACACATCCAAAACACACCCCAAACACACCACACACACAACACACCTATTAGATTATATCAAATCGTACATCAGGATAATTGTTCTAACTTTTTCTTTGCAAAATCGTTACTTGAAGTTATGTTAGTGATCAATAGTTGAATAAAAAATACGAAAAATATGAGGTTTGTTCATTTTTTAAAATAAAATAAATTAGAAGGCTGAATAAAAGTATTAAATTAAAAAATGAATAAAAAGTGGGCATGTAATAAAACAAAAATAGAAATAAAACATTTTAAGGCTTTATCGAGCTTTTCAGTTTACTGATGCTTTGAACTTTATCTCTCTCGTGTTGCAGGCTGATAAATGAAAGATCATTGGTTTCAACTTGCATAAGCAGGTTTTTGTATACTGTTGTTTGACCGTGTGTGTTTGTGTCTATGTTTGCGTGTGTGTGGTTGTTGTGTGTGTATGTGGTTGTTACACAAACCAAGTTTAGCAACAAAGTTTAACTGATTTAAACTGAAAAATGATAAAAATGAGATAAAAATCTCATACTACAACAAACCAGTCAACAACTCGACTTAAACAGCTAAACCTTTCTGCAAACAATACAACATATACAACATTGTATGGAAACGCTGAAATTATCCCAAATATTTCCTCCCATGTGTATTGATGTATAATGTATGTTTTATACACAACAGCACATGAACTACATTGTATATGATTCAGTTTTTACACAGGAGGGAGTTTTTTTGCAAAAGTGATTTTGTTGTGTTTTTTGTATAAATGTATGTGTTTTTCATACAAATTTACGAAATTTACTTTAATTATAATTTAGAATATATACCATTCATTTGTATTCTAGATTTATTTTCATAACTATATGCAACTTAAAATAATTTTTTAATAATTGCTCTGCGCCTATGGTTCTATCATATCTGTATGCATATGTTTGTTTGTATGTATGTGTGTATGCATGTATGTATGTTTATAAGTATAGAATGTATGTATGCATGCGTGCATGAACGTGTACCAATCGGACATCTATATCCTAGGTTAATATATTACATAATGTAGATGAACAAAATTGCATATATAACAAGCAAATATCTTGATATATATTCTGTTGTCGTTGTTGAGAATTTTTCAGATTGATTAATGGTTGCAGTTGTGGTTGTTGCTTGTTGGTTAGCAAGCTGTTGTGAATTATTTCCAGCTAGATGAGTAAGACATAGCTTCGTATGAATGAAGATACGCCGGTCGGTACCTCCCGATACAAGAATTATTCACTCTGGAACGGTTCGATAAGGTTATAACGGCATCCCTTCAACGGATATCATGCATTAAGCGAATAAGGCGCATAATACATTTGCGTTATTGGATTGAAAAAATTTTTCGCCATAAAAATTCAACAAACGATTCAACTGTTAATGCGAATGTTTCTCGTAAACAAGTTAATTCGTCTAAACATAAAGTTTGCATTAAGGTGATCGTATAAAAGGTTGATTGTGCGGAATTCAACTGTAAACAGTCGTCGCATATCAACACATCTCAACGAAGAATTATTGAAACTAAAAAGTCTCAACTGATAATAATTTGGAAATTGAGCTTTGATGTCATTGTTAATGACATCACCGTCTACGTCATCACCAGCTTCATCGCTAGACGAGACAATGCCTGCTCAGCCGCAACCGCCAATGATAACAACCACACCGACAAAAACTACAGCAACGGACGACAACACCACCAGCAACACCACCACAACCAGTTCTTCGAAACCATCACCCGCGCCCCACAACAAACTTGGCACACCAACTTCGGTGCGATCTCGGCCGCCAAAACTAGCAGACACGATACAAGGCGAGTTTCTCGTCTGCCGAATTTGCAACGAATCCTACAAAAAACCAAAATGTCTTTCATGCCTGCATACGTTTTGTCTACTCTGTCTTGAGAAACAATTTGAAGAGAGTGATTTTTTTGCTTATAAAAAGTTCAGTAGCAGCTCTGATTATAGGGATATCGTCTGCCCGCTCTGTCGCAAGCGTACAACTATTCCCGCCGGCGGCATTAAAAAACTTCCAGATAACTTTCTTCTCGAAGGTGTCGTGTTCATTTTTTTAAAGGCTATTCAAACTTAATAATATTATATTTTGTAACAAACAAGTTGAATAATTTTTTGGAAAACATTTAAAATAATAGAAATCCTATATAACTTGATAATGTAACAAATAGAATATGAAAAGAATCTATGTATATTTTTCCTTCTTATTTGTATATTCTATCGTTCATTTATTCGTTCGTTCATTCGTTTTTTCGTTCATTCATTCATTTATTTACTCGTTCATTCATTCTGTTTATAACTCTTCTTTCCGCTATTTAAACATTTTACGAGCATTTTCTGATTAATTTTTAAACCCACAAACAAACAAACAGAAACAGGCACACACCTGAAACCATAGAGATAGAATAATAAGACGCACACACACAATCACGCATACTTTGCAAACCAGGCAATAAAAATACTACGCTAAATCTATAAACGTTATAAAGAAATACACACACACACAAACACACACACACACAAACACACAGATATATATATATATATATATATATATATATATATATATATATATATATATACGTTGTATAAGTTATCATATGCAAAAGTACTTTATCAATCATATATAAATATATACACTATATATCGTTATCTTAAACATTCAATTATTTATATATGATTATATAATATTATTAATAAAAATGTATACATTGTTATTAATAACAGTGAATGTATATGGATGCTGTAGCTCACTCACATGCTTGCCAAGCAAATCAAATGATCTAAAGAAATACTTTTCTGCTGTTGTTATTGCTGCAAAAATTTCATCCTCATCATCCTCTTCTTCCTCCTCATCATCATCGTCGTCGTCATTATCATCGTCATCATCAGCGTTTTTATTACCATTTTATTACCATTTTAATCATCACACTTCCATCATCTTCATCGTTGATATTAGTAATTATGTCATCATTTTATTAACCATGGCACCGAATATGGTGAATTAGACTTGTAGTTTTCTACTATCTACATGTAGAACTCAATCTCCTAAGTCTGAAAATACATAATTGATTATTTTCTTTACCATTTTTTTGTTGTCGTCATCGCTTCAATCATGATTATTAGCAGTAGCAGCAGCAGTAGTAGCTGTAGTAATAGCAGTAAAATTAGTAATAGTATTAGCAGAGGATTTAACAACTATATAAAGCCCCAGACCAGATAACATTTGACTTTCTAACCAGAGGTTTTCAGACCAAAGTATTTCAAAAATTGTGTAAAAAATTTGTCAATTTATTTCCGAAATTCCTTAAACTTGGAGGTTTTTGTCAAATGACTCTTTAGTACAAACCATCCACTCCTAGGTCCTGAGTATTATCACATTTTGTATTTCGTGTGAGTTTCACATTCTGTTATAGCTATTGTTTTCTAAGTATCTTAAATTGAATTTTTTACATTGTAACTAGTCAGTTCATTCATGCTGATCCATTTCACTTCGTATAACACACAATCGTTATTCTCATCATTGCTATCACTTAGTGGCGGATCTAGACAGCGTTAAACCAAAATAACCGTCTAACATTCATAACTTGGAAATCTTAAAAATTAATTAACAAACAAATAGCTGGCATTCGGCATTTTCAAGAACTGATTAAAAACGATAGAGAGAGAGAGAGAGAGAGAGAGAGAGAGAGAGAGAGAGAGAAAGAGAGAGAGAGAAAGAGAAATAAAAATTTACATTACAGATCATATTTATCAACATTCACATACATGTACCTTTCTCTCTCAGAATATATTCCTAACATTTGTTAGTTAACAACACCAACATTTTTTCCGGTTAGATTAGGGACACCTTTCTTCTGTTAGTTTTGTTGTTGTCTTTTGTGTTTTGTTGTTGTTGCTGTTGTTATTGTTGTTATTGTTGTTGTGTTTTCTATTGCATTTCAAAACTACTGCTACAAATTTTACACATTTTACTGCAAGTTCTTCATTGTTGAGAAAAATATAGAGATTTATACAATGCTATCAATGTCATTATTCAAAATATCTTAGGTTTATTAACGACTATCCGTTATAATTTTTATTTCAATTTTTAGTCCACGAAATTAGTTAATATAAATATAAGAGATGAAATATTTTAACAAATATAATGATAAAACTGAAAGAAAGTGTTGTTTAGTATTTAGCAAGTTAGCATCGCTTTGCATTGCTTATTAGATTGCTGTGTACTGGAAACGAGATATGGATTGGATCATAAATATCTCAGCATTCATTTCAACCATTTTCTTTTATTATTTTTTTTTTCAAAAATTAATTGTTGTTTTCATGTTTTTCTGAAATAATAATAATAATAATTTTCATTATTATATTATCATAATTTCTGAAACAGTCGTCTGCGTCGTTATCACAAATTTTCCATCCTACTTATCATTACCAAGTTTCATTATCGTATAACAATAAAAATCATAATAATTGTTTATCATCATCGTCGTCGTCGTCCCCAACGTCAACCTCATCTTCTCCTCCTCCTCATCATCATCCTCATTCCCATCGTCGTCATCATCTTCTCCATCATCTCTTTCAGGAATTTCTGACGTCATCATCCGACAAAGACCGCCAAAGATATTCTACTGCGATGTCTGCAGACAACTAAATCGTAATAGTACAATCGAAATTACTACAAGCTCTTCAAATATAAGTAGCGGCACTAGTAGTAGCAGCAGTAGCAGCAGTAGTACTTCAACAACAGCCACAAGAGAAGCGTCAACAACACAGTTGAATGAAGCGACGACAAAATGTCTGGATTGTAAGAAGTTGTTGTGTCCTGATTGTGTCAAGATTCACAGGCAGACTAAAGTTACCAACACGCATTCGCTCTTCAATGTTGACATTGAGAAAGATGTCGAATGCTTGGTGCACTCTGTTAGTCCTTGTGTTGTTATTTCATTGTAGTTATAACAATTTTTAATTGATTAATTCGTTTTTGGTTTCTATCGTCAACATTTCATAAAAAAAAGCTTGCTTACTCTAAAATGAATGTTTTACAATTTAAAAAAAACTTTCCTCCAATCCATCATACACACGAACGCAAACGTCCATGCCGACATTTGAAGGAGGAAACCGTGCGATACTACTGCGACACCTGCCACAGTTGCATCTGCATCATGTGCCTCTTCAACGAGCACAACGACCACGACATCATGCACATACACGAGGCTGCTAACAAGTATTTCGAACAAGTTCGAGAGATGTCGCAAAGGTGTGAAAGAAAGTTGGAAAAATCAGAAAAAGACGTTTGTTCTATCTTGTTGTATTAATGTTTAAAGTTATTGTCTTCTTTGAATGAAGGATGGTTTATATGGCAATTAATTACAAATCTGAAGGCCGAATTAGCCGAATGAATCTTTAAAGTTAGGAACTAACAAATTGTTTAATCCAAAAAGTAGTTTAAAAATATTTGATTTACGATAAAAAACTTTTTTGTTACATAATAAAAATGCGTTTGATAATTTGAAGATACAATCTGCAAACATCAAAACCATCTATCACCAAAAATTCACCAATCTTGACAAACGCCATCAGCTGGAGCAACTGGAAAGATGTGAGAACACAATCAACCACACTGAGCAGAAGATTCGAGACAAGATGAACGAGTTTGTGTCACAGTTGAAAGAACAAGAATGCAAACTGTTGGAGGATATTAAAAATTTGTATGGCGCTGAGTGCTTCAAAGCCATTCAAAATAAAAAAGAATTTATTGTACATGTGGGTTTATCTGCTTGAGTTACTTTTTCAAAATTGATTTTTACCTTTTTAAGTCTAGTACGCTTTTAAGCCTGCACCAGATTGATGAGTTTATTGGCTTTCAGTACAATTAACAATTAAATTTATTAAATGGCTATGTTGTAGTTTGCTCTTGAAATCAATTTTTGCTATGATAAACTGGAGGCTTATTTATTAATTATTCTTATTTAATATAATTTAAAACTAATTTATTGATCAAATTTTTAACTTAATATGTAGATAAAGTAAATTTTAAAAAGTTTAATGTTGAGATAATCGTTATTTTGCCATTTACTGAAATTGGCGACCAAATATTTAACTGGCCGTAGATCGAGAACATGAGAAGTGCCTGCCGACTGACTAACGTCGTCCTTTCTGGTGGACACGTTGAATTCCTACTCCTCAAAAAAACCATCGAAGATCAACTGAAGAATTTCGTGAAATTGAAAAAGATAGAAAATAAGAAACCTGACATGAACAGTGATGATAGCGAAGACGATGATAGCAATGATGACGACAGTGATGATGATTATAACCTTAAAGATAAAAACAAGGACGGCAAGAATCATTTCATTCAGCCTCCTAATGTTCAAAAGGTGAAATTCTTTCGGAGGGTTTTATTTTTTATTTTTATACTTTTATTCGATCGCAAGACCACATTTAATTTTGAAATTTTATGTAAGTTACAAACACAACATTGCTCATAAAATCATATTATTGTTACTCAGGTTATAGAGTTTCGACCCGGCTCCCTTAATTTCGGTTTCATTTTTGACTTTGACAACCCGACTAACGACAATAGCAGCATCAGTAGCCTTCAATCTCAAAATATCACCAGCTGTCCAAACGTCAACAGCACCAAAAACGTCAAGAATATCTCGAACGTTGCAACGAAGACGCTGAGCAGTTTTGAAGAAAAAAAGAAATTACTTGCCGGCACTCACAAAATCAAATCGAAAACTTCGAACGCAACTTCAGATGAAAAATCTACAACTGTCAACGAAAGCACCAATGACAATATCAAATCTGCCAAAACGTCGTCACTAGCAACTAAAAAAGTCTCCAGTAGTAACAAAACTACTTCAAAAAGCAAGCAAGAACGTAAATCAACTTCGTCGTCATCATCAATGGCAGCACCGACTTCATCGACATCCGTGGAAACGCAAACAGATCCCATGTCCCTGGACGCCCTCATACTTGCCTACAAATCCGAACGCAAGTACTCGCCAACCAGAGATGCATTCCTCGTTTCCAACAAAATTCAACAACTGCTCTCAGACGAATTAACAGCAATGTCCTCATCGCCACCATCAACATCACCATATTCACTCAGCAGCATGCATTCGACCATGCTCTCAACAGCTGCAGCTGTTTCATCCGCAGCGGCAGCAGCCGATGCCGCCGCCGCTGCAGCTACGAGAACAAAAGCTGAATTGATGAAACTGTCGTCGTCAGCAGCTGCAAAAACAAAAGCTGATTTGATGGCCTTCTCAGCCTCCTTAAAAATGCCAGCAAAAGTAACGTCTGCGTCACTATCAACGTCAACATCAGCACCTTCCTCATCACCTTCCTCATCATCTTCATCATCATCTTCTTCTTCATCATCATCTTCATCATCATCCTCATCTTCGTCATCTTCCATATCTTTGACGTCATCATCTTCATTGCCATCATCTACAACAACACCATCGAATGAGGTTAAAGTATCGGCCAAACAAACGGTTACAAACAAAGCAGATGACAACCCTATCAAAACTGTCAGTGGTAAAAATTTTTTGAAAAACATCAAAAACAAACATTCTTCCCTGGAGAGCAGTTCAAGTGACGAAAACTCCAACGACGAAACAACTAGTAATAATAATTCTAATCAAAGTCACACTTGTAGTGCTGACAACAAAACTGGATCGATTGCACCGACCACCAACACTTCTTCCACGGTGATTAATTCCAATCCAAAAACGGCAACTTTATCACCGACGGTTCAAGCAGTTACCACAGTAGCCACAACAATATCTGTGGCAGCAACAGCAATAGCGGCAGCACCAGTAGCAACTACATCAACTACTGCTGTTTCTAAAAGTCCGAATCCATCAAGAAAAAATCCAGAAGCGCATGTATCAATTGTCCCATCTCCTAAATTTAACAAACCTACGTCATCAACACTGCCAACAATTTTGCTGCCAGCAACAAAATCAGCAGAAGCAGCAACAGCAGCTACAACTGCTGCTACCACAACCGCCACAACACCGACGACACAAAACAAAGCAAGTATTCAAAACGTTAAGGGCATGCCATCACCAACTTCTCCAACAACCTCTACAAAAATAATTGCAACCGTTGCGCCTACAATTAACAGTGCAGCCGCTGCAAAATCAACGACATCAACAACAACATCATCCTTGTCACCAACAACAACATCCACATCAACGTCTACAACAGCCACAGCAGATGCTAGCAGCAGCAGTGAAACAAAGCAAAAAACACCATCACCGTCGTCCTCCTCCTCATCAAAAACAGCAGCAACCACAACCGCCACAGCCACAACAACTTCAACATCATCAACAACGAATTCAACGCCACCAGCTTCCACACCACCACCATCGGCACCTCTCACGAGGGAGGAAAGCATTGTACTGTTGAGGAAGAAAGCTAGAGAAAAAACTCACAAACATTTCACCCATTTATCCGACTCTCCACTTTTCAAGTTCACCGACAACAAGTATGGCTCGGTTAGCAACAACAACAACAACAACAACAACGCTACTAATACTAACACCGGAAGTAGCAGTAGTGGTAGTAATCGTAACAGTGCTTACGGCAGCAGCAGTAATAGTAGTGTTGGAGCTGGTAGTGGTAGTAGTAATAGTCTGGTTGGTTCGAGTAACAATTTAAACAGTGATTCGATCAACATTTACAACCCGTCTTCCTATCTGTACTACCACCCATCATCATCATCGACATCATCTACGTCATCATCTACGTCATCACCGTATTATCGCCCACCTGAATCTTCATCGTCAGCCACGATTCCCTACTACACTTCACCGTCGTCATCCTCCTCTTCATCACGAAATTATCGAGGATCTGATGGCTACAAGTACTCATCGCATAAGTATTACTAAGACTACTGCATAGGTACAACAATCTGTTCTACCGCGTCAGAGTATAGTTTACTTGGTTATAGTCACTTTACTAGTAATTAATGACGGAATCATAGAAATTCGATGTAATCACAAATGTAAATTCAATTCGGCAGTAACCATGAGTGAAGTTTGAACGGCGATGGCGATGATTGGTTTAATTATAGTAATTACAGCTAGCAAGAGTTTGTTAGCCTAACTTAGTGGCTTTGTATGATAGTTTATTTTCATATATTTTTTATGATATAGCTCATAATTTCATGTTTTTACTGGAAAAAAATTTCTAAAAATAATTAAAAAAAAAAGAAACACATGATATGATTTATATCTTATATCAGTACACTAGATTATGTTTGTTTCTCAGTGGTTCGAGCTTGCTATAATTGATTAATTAACAAATTGAATACTGCATACAATTTTTTGTGCATGTTTCAAAAAAATGTTTGTGTGTTTGTAAGAGTGTGTGTGCGTGAGTGTGTGCATGTGTTGCCGTGGACCTGCGTGTGTTTGTATGTGCGAGTAAATGTCTTTGTATAGGAGATATTTTTGTATAAAAAATGGCTTAGTATTGTTGAATTTTGTAGTTTCTGTAAATTTTAATTTAAAACTTTATGGCATTTGCTATAAAAATTCTAGAAATTCAAACCGTTTTTCTGCGTTTTTTTAAATTCTTACAAAAATTAAAATTTAATCAAAGATTTTAATTTGATGAATACGGTAAATTACAATGGAAAAATAAATATATATTAGAATAATTAACGTGTTGTAAAAAAACACATGTCACATAAAAACGTTCAGGAAAGGAGAAATATCAATCAAGCCTTGTTATCTTATCTTATAAATATCATTTAAATAATGAAGTTAAAGAAAATAATAATTAGTAATAATAATAGTTAAAATAAAAGTTCTTTTATTCAATAATTACCGGTCGATATTGACATTTTTGAATTTCAATAATAAAATAATTATTGTAATAGAGAGGTTCATATTATCAATTTTGATTTTTATCGCTATCGTGTGAGCCACTTTAACATTTAATTTCATCAAATCAGAGAAAAAAGAATCAATGAAATGAAATGATCTTGAAACCAAAAAAAATTGCTTTTGTAACTTGTCACCAGTTACTTATTTAATAACAACATAATCATATCATATCTCTTATCATCATACATTATCTACATATAATCAGCCATAACATCATCACCGCTATAATCATTATTGCCATCATTATCCTTCTCTTCCTTCTCCTTATCATTATCATCGCCATTTTCCTCATCATCACCATTATCATCGTCATCATCATCACTATCGTCATCATCACTATCGTCATCATCATCGTCGTCGTCATCTTCATCGTCGTCATCGTCATCATGACGGCAGAGTGATGATGCTACTGAAATATGGACCTTCAGAGCTGCTTCTCCAATCTATCCAGAGAATAATTATGTCTGCGCCGTACAAAATCACCGATGACCATGTAAAAAACTGTCAGTGGATGCATGGGTGAATGAATGAATGAATGAATGGCTAAATGAGTGAATGAAAGAATGAATGAATGAATGGAGTGATTGGTGAATGAAAGAATGGATGAATGAATAAATTGTTTAACTGTTTTTTGATTGGCCATATGTGTATAAATGTCAGAGTGATTGAAAACATTTATTGATTAATGTATAAAGGAATAAATCAACAGACCCATCATTATAATCTGTTTGTTCATTTATTCAACTGCCCAACTATCCATTCATTCATTAATTCATCCATCAGTTCATTCATCCATCCATTTATTCATCCATCCATCCGAAAAATGAACCATACTCACTGCCGCGGCTGCCATGTTAACATTGTAACGACCACTTTCCTGAATGTAGACTGAAGCCAGGATTGCACTTATGAAGTAAAGGATGGTGAAGAAACATGAGAGTATAAATTCCTGATGGGATTAGTTATGGGATTATTATTCAATAGTTTTTTTATGAGCCATTTTGTGCTGCCTATTGTTATGTTCGGAGATTCACTATATGTGATATTTTATATCAATTTTTTAAATTTGTATTAATTCATTTCACATGATTTTCATACATTGTTATAAAATTAAGTTGATGAAAATGTTTCAAGGTACAAAATTTATGTGATAGAATTTCGGAAAATATAATTTAAGAAGATAATAAAATTTTCAACAAACAATTAAGATGCTAACATCCTGAAATAAAATGACGCTACCAAAAAACAACACACTTATATAACTTTACTCACAAAAAAACTAAATCCCACCCAAATAAAATCACACAAAAACACAACTAAACCAAAACTAAAAATAACTCCCTCAGACAAGAAAACAACACCCAACATCACACTCACAAAACACAGCTACCAAAGACACTCAAAGACAACAAAAAACAACAGCAAAAACCAAAAACAACAACAACCAAACAACAACTAAACCCAAAACAGCAACAAAACCCAAAAACAACAACAACAACCAAACAGCAACAAAACCCAAAATAAACGATAAAACCCAACAAAACAAAACAAAAAACACACAGTAAACTTGAGAGGGACTGTCATGGGACAGGTACGATCCAGCCTAAACATGTGAATGACATAGTAGACAAGAGACACGATGAAGGTGAACATGCTGACAAACTGCATGTAACCGCAGACCGATATAATCGCCATAGTGCCGTGAATGTTGACAGAAGCGCAAATGAAAACTGACAAATCGAATATCTGAGAAGTGGGTTTTATGTTTAAGATATTTAATTTAAATTCTTATTAAAAATTAAATTAAAAATTATTAAAAAAGAATAAAAGATTATAGTTAGAAAAGTAAATTTTATAAAAAAAAAAAAAAAAACAGAAAAAATTGTGTTTTAACCATCTGTAGCGCTTTAATGATTCCATAGAATGAAAACAGATACTGTTGATCAATCATTTCAGACATGCTTCTATACCTGTCAGAGGGGGCATGTCTCGATGTTATCGTTGTCTGTGGTTGCGAATACGTCGTCGTTGTTGTTGGAAATGGTTGTGGGTAGTTGTTATCCTGGCCTGACATGGTTAGTTTGGTGTTTTGAGGAGATTTTTTGGTGAAATTTATAAAAAAGTTTTTAGTTTGTTGGTCTTTCACTTGGTGTAGGAAATACTGCGTGAGTTATGTTGTTGTCGGGTGAGAATAAAATGTTTAAGTGATGTTTTAAGGTATGTATCTAGTTGTCGGGATAAGTTGTTTATATAAAGATTTAACAAAATAACAATATCTAATATCTGTATTAGTATTATTTTTAGTTGCTCTAAACAAACTGTTTTAGTTGTTTGGCTGACGTTTATTGATGTGAATTACGTTTTAATTCTTTCAAAATTTTTTGTCTTGATTTGAAGAACAGACGAGACTGATGTTCAAGACCTCTGGTTATTCTATCAATTTACTTCTCCCTCTTTGTCAGTCAGTTCATCTTTCTTTTTTCATTAAATTATTTTAAATTGTAAAAATTTTATAATATATTGGAATTAATAACAGTTATATAGGTCAAAAATATTATCTTTCTATGTTAAGTTAATAAAATAATAAAATCATATTTATTACAAAACGTAACTTCAATGTTGCATTTGTTTATTTACAATGAAATGAGCTGTCGTTATTATTACATTTATTTTAAAAATAATGATTTTATTATTATTATTATTTTATTATTATTATAATTAAGATTTATAAAGAGCTTTTTTATAGACAAGGATCCAGAAAAACGCTACAAAATATTTAAAATTGATAATCCTGAAATTGTTAAAAATAATTTTTACCAGTGGTTTCACCTTTAATTTAAAATCAAATCCAATAAAAAGCGCAGAATAAATAAAATTCACAAAGATTATTGATTCTTTAACAAAATGTACAAACAACCAAACATTCGAACGAACGAACGAACATGTACAAACAAACAAACGAACGATCGAATGCTAGTTCAGTAATATTGAAACTTGATACGTGTAGATTGCTTTGTATTTATGTATGCGTGTGTATGTATGCACCTATATAATAACTATCATTATTAATTTATTTAAATATTATTCCATCCATAACTTTTCATTAACACAAAAATTTTATTTCATCACAAGATTTTAAATTTTAATTTTCATACTAAAATTAAAAATTAAATAATATTTTATTATGATTAAATAAAAAAATTTTATGATAAAAAATTAGAAAAAAAAATTTGGGATTTCATTCATTACGCTGTCGCTAACAAGATTCTATGCGCTTGAGCTACATTTTCGGATTAAATTTCTAAAAATCATATTCGTTATATAAGAAGGGAGAAATGGCTTAGGAGTGGAAAAGAAAGAGACAGTTGAGTAAAATAAAAAGTGCGAGAAAGAGAGAGAGAGAGAGAGGAAGAGAGAAGGATATAAATTAATTCTGAAGACGATATAGCTGTCAATAATATTGATACGAAATGAATCTTCATTTTGCCAGTGGCTCAACGTTCAAGTGTGCATTTTTGTATATACACTTTGCATTTTTATCTAATGCTCGCTTATTTCACTAAAACTTTATATATGTTCTTAAACAAATTTGAATTTTTTGTATTAATAAGATTGTATTTAAATATAATAATGTATATGCATCTGCTTGTGTGTATATATATATATTATTAGGTAGATAACACACATACACACACAGGCACGCACACGCACACAATCACACACACACGAACTCACGCACACACATGTAGCACTTGTGAAAGAGATTCACTCGTTAAAGTTCAATAACTACCTGAATGCTAGCTAACGTGACATAATGTTGAAGACGATATGATGATAATAATGACGACGACGATAATGCAAATGTTGATGATGATCCGATCATGACGATGACTGACAGTGTAAAAAATGATAACGAAATGATGAAGAAATAATAATGTATGTGTGTGTGTTTGAGTGTGTGTGTGTGTGTGTGTGTGTTTATATAATATATGTATGTTTAATGTGTATATACCTGTACCAATATATATGAAGGTAACGAATGGATGGAATATTCCATCACTAATTCTATGAAATTTGCTTTGGTTGTGCTCATTTTATGTTGACCTAAATAAATAGAAACATGTAAATAAAGTAAATGTACTAATTACTAATACATGATGACTGTTTTGACGATAATCTATTGGTTAATTATATTATGAGAGAATCTGCTTATACATGATTTTAAGCTTAGATTTGTACGATACAACGGCTGTACACTTCAAAACGTACACACACACCTCATTACTACATTTCACGAAGTATCATGTGCGTTGGGATGCGGTGTTTCACGAATCCACTTAAAATTTTGAAGTAGGAATTGTATTCAAAACTCAAAAACACAAAATTCTTTCCTCTGTTTAATGGAGGGTGAACATAAAATTGTTATATAACAAACTTGTTGAAGATGACGGCAAATGAATTAATTTTAAATAATTTCACATCTAATTTTAATAAAATAAATGATTGATCATAACAATTTTAACTACGACAAAAATATTTATTATAATTATAATAATTATTATTATTATAATACAAAATAATTACAAATTATATAGTAAGCATTCCATTTAGATCTTAAAAATAGTCAACTACAGAAGTATCTGGTATGAGTTGTCTGATATCATGATATAATATTAAGATGCAAAAATTTGATAGTGTTTATGGTGTTACCATGGTTTAATCTGCCAACTATCGAATGCTTAATTATAATCGCCCCTACATATTGAATTTTCAATTAATTTTTTAAATATTTTAAATGAAATTTTAGAATAAAAATTTTAGAACAAATAATTATTTAACTAATCAATATTAAACGAATTAAATAACTCTAATAGCATAAAAATGTATCATATATAATATCTCGTATATATCCTTTAGTGATATAATATCAACAACACATAAACTAAATAATAAAAATAATAATGTAATGAATAATAATATTAATGAGAATGATAAAAAAGTTGGCAATAACAATAAAAACTACAGTATAAAACAGGGGTAGGCAAACTTTTTGCTGTGAGGGCCGCATTGAGAGCTATATTTTACCTTTGAAGGGCCACATATGCAAACAAGGCCTCGCGGGCCGTTGTTTGCCCACCCTGGTACAAAATAAACACAATTTTCTTTTCTTTGCGATATTATTTCTTTGTTTGTTTGTTTTACCACAATAGATACAACTAACTTGTCTTTTTGAAATAATAACAATTATGTCTATAAATAATACCATAATAAAATATGATAGGAAATCATCACTATAATTTGCAATTATGAATATTCACTATAATTATTTATTAACATAGTATTATAACGAATACCAATATATACCATAATATTGTTTGACAGTTATATTGGTCTAATTGTGACGTTCTTTTGAACTGAAAATTTAATTTTCTTCGACCAGTGGGCCTATGGGGTGACCAGCAATGATTGCGGGACTGCCAGGCGGGGAAACCGACCCCACACGCATCGTCTCACTTAGTACTCCTGTCAGAGTTTTTTAAATTTTAATTTAACTTTTTTATTCACGATTTCAATTTTAATTAAACATTTAACTTAATTTAACCAAAAGATTCAACAGTGAATCACACAATCGGTAAATTGAAAAATTCGAGGATCCAAATGTTAAGTAATTGCAATCGATATCGAAAATAGGGAGGTATCCATCCGTACACCTCTTCTCTGATCCGCAATAGGAGGAGGAGTGAATTGGCCGTCCTGATCAAATGACGATCCTGAATTATTGAAAATTTGAAAAAAAAATTATATCTGTTAGTAACACGTCAAAACCACGTACCATATTAAAATCACATACCACACACACATACATACACACACAAACACACACAGACCTCTACTGTTGAAACTATCACGCTTGGGTCTGTCATAATCCTCCATTGACATTGTTCTGTTGCGTAGCATCCTACGTACGTTGTGCATTGGAATGGAGGAAACTGTAAAATGGATGGATGAGTGCATATGGATGGATGGACGGATTGATTGATGGATGAATGCATGCGTGGATGAATAGATAAATGAATGAATAGATGCATTGATGGATGGAAAAATGCACGAATAAGTAAATGAATGGATGGTAGTAAATAATGGAAATTAAGTGCCCACCTAATCCTAATCCTTGAAGGAAGTACTGGAAACATTCAGCCAACTTGTCCGGCTTTTGTCAGGATAATGTGATTATTGAAACAATTTTAAAGCTTTCTCATTTGTAAAAACTTAGTAGTTGAAAATAATGTTGAAAATTTAAGATTAAAATTTAACTTTCTCATTTGTAAAAACTTAGTAGTTGAAAATAGTGTTGAAAATTTAAGATTTTAAATAAAGTGTTTATAAAAAAAAATGACCTTCATTACTATTTCATTATTATTGCAGTTATCATAGTCCTCATCATCGCCTTACTATCATCATCAACATCATTATCTTTATCATCATCATCATCATCTTTTCCCTTCCAACTCCATCACCATCTCACCCTTTCCTCTAGAACGTTTGCGACACCAGCCACTTCGATGAACTCAACTTTCGTTTTGTCTTCGCACGTCTTCAAGATGGCCTGGTGTTGTTGTTGATGTTGTTGGTGTTGTTGTTGTTGGTGTTGTTGTTGTTGTTGGTGTTGTTGTTGGTGTTGTTGTTTTTTTAGCTGTTTGGTTCTTTGATTAATGTTGTTGTTTTTGGTTATTAGGTTTGCTTATTGCTCGTGGTTTGTGTTTTTCATGTGTCCTCTTAAACGGTTTCTTATAATTGATAACAAAATTACGTACACACGTACAATGAAAAATTTCACACTAAGGCATTTGATAGCTGACCTCCTATTCTATTAACAAGAGACCATCAAAAAATAGAGCACACAATGTTTGCAACAACTGTACTGAGAGATGTGTTTGTGTGTTGTATGGATGGTGTATGCTGGCGCTTAACTTTATTTTAGCAGTTTATATTTTTACATAGATTTTTTACGGTTGCTGGACATTTTTCTGTTTTTTTGCAGATTTTTCCCAGATAAATTTTGATATCGTCTTTATTGTTTTTAGTTTTAATTATTTTTTTTTTGGATAATTAGTTGGCCGACCTGGTGGAGAGCTCGAGTCGTCGCGTTGAAAATAGAGTGCTGACCTGTTATCAAGAGGACTGGACATCTGCTTCGTGGAAGTAATTTATTGGGAGAACAATTTTTTTTATTGTCATTTGGGGGTAAATTTTAGATTTGTTAATACGATCATTTTCATTCATCTGAAACCATTTTAGTAACGTCAAATATTATTTTTAACTGGTTAAAAATCTAAGATTTTAAATTTGTGTTTATTTCTCAAATAGAGCAAAAAAATTCACAAATTTCGAATTTTTATAAAATTTATACAAAAAATATACAAACATTCAAAAACGAACAAACAAACATGAAAGAAGAAAAAATGTTTAGAGTTTGTAGAGTAGAAAAAGAACTTACCTCAGGGCTTTCGCATTGTCAGCTATGTTTGTGCGCCTGTCATGGTGGCAAGGATAAAGATGATGGTGAAGATGATGATGAAGACGAAAATGAAAATGATAAAGAAGATGATGATGGTTTTGAAAATGACGACGATGATGATGGTGATGAAGATGACGACGATGAAGATGACGTAAAGATGTGAATTTAGGCATTTATCATCATCTGCACCGGCAAAGTTTCGACAATTTGGAGACGGTAACGATTTTGAAAGGGTTGAAATATAAAACGCATTAAAAATTTATTTTTAGTTTTAAATAAAATTAATAAAATGATAATAATAATAAAAATGATATTATTATTATTATTAATTACGTTATTTTCATTTTTAAAAACCGCTAACTTGAGAAAAGCGCAGACGAATTGTTTGAGATTCTTCGGGTTGATTTTATTTCGCAAGATTTCCTGGTACTGTTCGACGATCGTTTTCAGTTCTTCATTGTCTCTTGCTTTACTGAACTACAAGTTGAATTAAATCATCATCATCATCGTCATCATCGTCGTTAATATCATCATCATCATCATCCACATCATCTTCATCATTTTCATCATCACCATCACAAGCAGACATGAGAATTTCAACAGATCAATCAATCAATCACAAAAAAACACACATTTAATTAAATAATACATCACTGAGAACAAAAACACTGACTTGCAAGACTACCCGCTTTTCATCATCATCATAAACATCATCATCATCATCATCATCATCATCATCATGAATATTATCACTATCGTTATCATCACTAATATCATCACTTTGATTGTCATCGTTAGTTTAACATCAGTATAATCATCATGATTTCTTAATTCCATACTTTCTCATGACGATGGCCATCCTGATGATCACCATCAACCACATCATCAAAATCATCATCACCAACATCTACATCATCATCTATATTATCAACATCATCTTCATTATCATCAACATTATCATCATCATCACAGACCTCATTCATTAGCATCAACATTATCATCATCATCATCACAAACCTCAGTCTAGTAGTAGCAGCAGCAGCAGTAGCAGCAGCAGTAGTAGTAGTAGCCACAGTAGTAGTAGTAGTAGTAGTAGTAGTAGTAGTAGTAGTAGTAGTAGTTGACGACGTTCACAAAATTTTATTTATGGGCATCAATTCGCAGTGGTCGGGGAAGGAAAAAATCGTTTTATGAGATTTTTGTCATTTATTATTATTATTATTATTGTTGTTGTTGTTGTTATTCTTTTCTATTACTATTCTTATTATTATGTTATGTATCATCATCATTGTCGTCATCGTCGTCACCATCGTAATCATAATCGCCATTACAAATGCCATCATCACAAATATCATCACCATCGTCATCATTATCATAATCATCATCATCGACATCATTATCACCTTCATCATCATCGTCATCATCATCGTCGTCATCATCACCACCATCCATGTCGTCATCATCGTCATCATCACTATCATCATCATCATTATCATCGACACCATCATCATCATCACCGTCACAGTGATCATGATCATAACTCACCCCGCCAAATCGATGGAGGACTAAATACTGCTCAGCCGATGCGTTCATTCCCGCTGTGTCGAATTTCCATTTCATGACCTGATGATGATGATGGTGGTGGTGATGATGGTGATGATGATGGTAATGGTGATGATGGTGATAATGATGGTAATGATGATGGTGATGATGACGGCGATGATGATAGTGATCCCTACTATGATGATGATGACCGAAGTTTCCAATATATAAAAAAATTCGGTGCGGTTTTGGATCGGCGAAGAAGAAAAGATGAACTGGATTATGAGGATTATCTTGGTGGAAATGTGATGGCGACATGGATGGTACTGGTGACGACTACAACGACAATGTACATGGTGATAAATTTGAGAATGATGATGTCAAAGATGCTGACGATGATAGCGTTCTTGTTGTTAAGAATGACAAATAAAAAAAAAATTGATATGTTTGTTATGTGACGTCATTTTTTTTAACGTTAACGTGTATTAAGTTTCTGATGTTGTTCTATTGTTAGCAGTTTAAGCTATACTACTTGTTTGTTGCTGTATGTGTGTGTGTGTTTGTGTGTGTGTTAGTGTTTGTGTGTGTGTGTGTGTGTTGTGTTTGCTTGTTTGTTAATAGAAAGCATTGGCAGCATCTAATATAAAGTGAAAGACTGCATAAGTTGTAGTAATGTATTGATGTAACGAACGCTGCGCTATCAAAAAAAACAGTTGATGTCATTTTTCTGTTGTCTTTGTTGTAATGCTTTTGTTGTTCATGATAAAAAGATGATGAAGACGAAAAAGATGAATATAATGGTGGGTTGTGAAGATGATAGAGGAGATGATGCTCAAAAATGTTACTACACAAATGCTGATAAATAGCTATTTGGTCTGTTGCATTTCTCAAAGGTATTATTATTTTCCACAGCGCAAATCACATACATTGCACGTGAATAAAAAGGAATCTTTTTGCATTCAAACCCGGTAACTGAAAGCATAAGCAACGCCTTTATCCCCTACGCAATGTGGCTTTTCAAAAATTAAGCGTACACACATTCACACAAACACACACCACATACAATCGTAGACACACAAATTTATACACATATACATGTACTCGCATATATATATGCACATTGTACAGCACACTTCCGTACATAAAATATACACATATATGATGAAATGTCGATACACACATACACATGTGATGAAAATGTCAACACGTACACACACACACACACACACACACACACACACACACACACACACACACACACACACACACACGTGTTCAGCAATTCCTAATTGAGTTGCACTTTACATGCAATAAATTGAATGGTCTCGACACCGTTCTTGTTGAATGAGTAGTAGCCATCATCGTCATCATCATCCTCATTCTCATCATCTTTCTCGTCGTCATCGTCATCATCATCTTCATCGTCATCATCATCTTCATCGTCATCATCATCTTCATCGTCATCATCATCTTCATCGTCATCATCATCTTCATTGTCATCATCTTCATCGTCATCATCATCTTCATTGTCATCATCATCACCATCATCATCATCATCGTTATCACTATTATTGTCATCACCACCACCATTGCAATGCGACTTCCACCGACCTATGGCTTTTTCAATGAAATTAATGTCTGAAATGTTCTTCTGGGATTTTTTTAAAGGTTTAAGCTTTACTACGATGATGATGATGACGACGACGACGATGATGATGATGATGATTAACATGACAATTATGATGATGATGATTAACATGGCAATAATGATGATGGTGATGGTGATGATGATTAAAATAAAATTGATGACGCCAATGATGATGATGATGACGATGACGATAACCATCACCATATCATTAATCATCATCAGCGCTATCAAAAAATGGAAAAAAATATAAAAAAAATACACATATTTGTTTGCGTCTGTTTGTCTAGAGCTAACATTTGCAGAGTTTGATATTAATCCCTCCACAAAAAACCATCTATATAGAAAAATGTTGGTGACTGTTATGAGGGCAGTGATTAAGATGATGATAACACGATGATGATGTTGTCGTGGTTGTGATGTTCCGACAATGGGGATGATGACGGTGGTGATGTTATCTAACTTCACAACAAGAATGATGATAACTCAATAGGTGATGACTACTGTAATGAGAAAATTTTGATGATGATGATGATGTTAACTGTTTTGTTATGAAACTTCTGCGATGATGATAACAATGATTTAATGATAACATTCAGTGATCGTGATAACTTTGTAACTAAATTTTTTTTCAAACTTTTCATTTTTCTTAAAAATACGTCTAAGTTGGTTTCTATTTGGGTCGTTTTAATTCTAAAAAAAATTTTTAATAGACATATCTTTCACTATCTTCACCACAAAAGCTCATTATTTTTACTCATCATCATCATTGTCGTCGTCGTCATCTTCATCACAATCATCGTCAAGGATCAAATATTTTATCATTATAAATTCTCATCTATGGCATTAACATTTGGCTATTACCATTTTGATGACGAGGATGAAGATGATGATGAAAAGTAAGATAATGAAGATGATGACGATGGTGATAAACAGAAAGATGATGATGATAATGATAAAGGTGATGACGACGACGATGATGATGAAAGAGACGACGAAGATGATGATTAATAATATGATGATGAAAAATATGATGATGAAAATGATGACGATGGTGATAAACAAAAAGATGATGGTGATGACGACGATGATGATGAAAGGCAAGATGATTAGAAAAAGAAATAAGAGCGTTGTTTACAATTGCACTCATGCAGTTGCTGTGTGAGAAGAAATCTATCCATACGTTCATCTCTTAACATAGCCAGCACACATATATATTCAGTTGTATCTTATAAACAACTGGCCTTATAAACATACAAACAAGCGTTTATACTGTGTTTATAATTTTTTGTTTGTTTACGTCATTCTAATTGTTGTTGTTCTTTTGTTTGCATGTTTTTTTAGTGTCTTAAATTGCGTTTTGTCATTTTTTCGTATTTCTTAAACACACACAGACACACACACACACACACATGCACGCAACACATACACACACTCACCACACACAAGCACACACACATATGCGAATCAAACATCATTCAAATATACCAGATATACAAGTCTGATTACAAAAAATATAGATAACAAATTTCATAATCACGACATCATGTCAACGCCATCATCATCGTAAAACAAAAACATAAAACGAATTCTCATTAATAACAACAACAATAATATAAATGTTATTATAAATAATAATAATAAATATTAAATAATAATAATAATAAATAATAATAATGACCTTGTCTTTGATAGACTCGAAGAGGCCCGCCGCAGTACCCGTGGTATGTAGGAGGCATACCCCAAGGACCCTTCCTATGTTGGCCATCTTGTGATGGTATTAGTGATGTTGGTGACGATGATGATGGTGAGGACAATGACGACGATGATGAATACGATGATGATGATGACGACGATGATGTTAGACGTGTTTATTTATAAAAATTATGTCATGGTGGTGGTGATGGTGGTCATGAAGATGATGGTATTGATGATGACAATGATGACAACGATGAAGGGGTGTTCATTTGTAATGATGATTTCAAAGTCGTCAAGGCGATGATGACAGTGATGATGATGATGATGGTTTTAGTGATGATGATGACGACGATGATGAAGGTATTGGTGTTGATTTATAATAATAATAACGATAATAATAACAACAATGATGATGGTGATAATACAAATTGTACATAACAACAGGCGATAATGAATAAATATCCCTTAAAATTTTAAACATTTATCACGTAATTAATTAATCATAAATAATTAAATAAGTGAAATAATAAGTGAAATATTAAAAAAAATGAACGAGTGACCAACAGCAAAACGCGCCAGTATATTAGCTCCAGCACCTTCTCCGAAGCACACAACTTCTTTAATGCTGTTAAATGTGAAATGTGAAATGTTAATCACAAATGTCTTGCTGAGTGTGTGTGTGTTTATTCTTGCGTGTATAAACGTGCGTGTGTGTGTGTGTGTGTGTGTGTGTGGTGTGTGTGTGTGTGTGTGTGTTTAAAAACAGGAAAGTTATTCGAACATTGTTATGCATATTGGGGTAGACGTGTTTAAGTTAGGGAAACAAGTCTCTCACCGAATGATAATCAACTTTAATAGACACTTCATTTGAAATTCTGAAGTAAAAAGAAGAGAATAATTAGATTGTGGCCAGACAATGTAGAAAAAGATAAAACTTTAAAAAAAAATTTAAATAAAACTTTAAAAAAATGAAATTATTTAGTTAGCAGGGAGCAAGAAGTTCATTACTAAAATTCAATGAAAATAAAAAAAAGTGCAATCAGGACAATTTCTAAAATGAGCGGCAGAATCCATTTGTAAAATTTGTATCTGATGAAAAAAATTGATGTCTTAAAAATGACATGGTTAAAAACATTAACAACATCAACATTTTTGGCCCCCGTGACAACGGCAATGTGTGTGTGTGTGTGTGTGTGTGTGTGTGTGTGTGTGTGTGTGTGTGTGTATCATATATCATCAACTTTAATGCCAGCAAAAATCCCTACCAACAAAACATCAACAACAGAACCACCGTCAACATCAACACGCACAAAAAAAACATCAAAGAGTACAAACTTGAGAACATTCAAGACGGTGATGAGGTCTTCTGCAATGACTTGCATAGATGGAAACTGATAACTGAATGTGCGAATGTGTGCGTGTGCGTGCGTGTGTGTGTGTATGTTACGAAATTAATTGGAAATTTTATATGTACTTTCCTGTATAAAATGATGATTTTTTTAAATTGCCACACCTTAGAAACCTTCCAATCAAGTGCAGGTGAAAAAGATCTCATGTTGTTCTTTTAATTAGTACCAACGACATTAAAAATACAACAACAACAGCAACAACAGCAGTGACAACAACGATAGGAACAACAATAATCTGCAGCACGTTTCAGATCGTCCTGACGATCTTGAAAAAACGATTGGAGAAAGACATAGAGCAGCATTTAGGAGAGGAGCAGGCAGGTTTCAGAAAGTACAGAAGTACAGTCCAGCAAATCCTGATGTTGAGACTATTGTTGGAAGATGCAGGAAGCAGAGGTCAAACAACTTTTCATTGTATTGTGAATTTTAAGAAGGCGTTTGATTCAGTCTGGCACGAAGGTTTGTGGGCAGCTTTGGAAAGTATGGGAGTGTCAACAAAAATGGTAAGGGTGCTGAAAGGGCTTTATGAGGAGTACGATGGGGGAAGAAACCATGGACTACACATCAACAGCAGTAAGACAAAGATAATGATTTCGGAAGCAGGTGGAAACAATGATGAATTCCAGATAGGAGCAGAAAAGCTCGAACAAGTGAACCAATTTATATATCTGAGCAGCCTCATAACTGATGACAATAATTGTTCGAAAGAAATTGATAGAAGAATAGCAATCGCGAGAGGAATGTTTGAATCTTTGAAAGTAATATTGAAAAACGGTAATGTATCTACAAAAACAAAGGTAAAGATCGTAGAAGCGTGTGTGTTTTTTACATTGATGTATGCATGTGAGGCTTGGACGTTGAAAAACCGAGAGACGAAGACAAACTGGAAGCATTCGAGATGCATTGTTATAGAAAGTTGCTGGGAATCAGTTGGAGACAAAAGATAAGAAACGATGCCATAAGAAAACAACTTGGAAGACAAAAAACTATGTATGAAAGTGTCAAGGAAAGAAAGTTGGGTATCTTTGAGCACATCTGCAGAATGACAGACGACAGACTGATCAAAAAAGTACTGATGAGAAAGAGGGACTGGAAGAAAAATGTTGGAAGACCTGTGAGGAAGTGGATGGATGATATCACGGAATGGACGGGGGTTGGAACATCAATGAAGATGGCGAGGGAAAGAAAAGGATTTTGGAGAAATAGAAGAATACCATCGGCCTCAACGGTCCCTTAAGGGATTACAGAGGATCATTGAATGAATGAATGAATAATGAACGTTACGTTAACATAGCATAGATACAAACATCAACGTCATTTTTTCAAAATAGACACATGATAACAATAACAGAAACATCAACAACAGTTACATTAACAATACAAACAGCCAAAGAAGAAGAAAAAACATAAACAAAGAACAAAAATTAATTATCGAAAATGAGGTTTTGAGTCAGTGCCTCAGTGTTCCGTCTAATTAATAAACAACATTGCCAACAAACCTTACGTTGTTTACGACCAATCATAGACGAGATGATGACCGTGACGGTGGTGATAATGATGTTGATGATGACGATAATGCTGATGATGGCGAAAACGATAATGTTGATGATGATGATTGATGATGATGTTGATGATGATGATGTTGATGATGATGATGTTGATGATGATGATGATGGCTATAATAACTAAACATTGAATACATGCCAACAAACAATACATAACTCTACAAATACATACTAATAGTTAAAATGATGATGCTCACGATGATAGGACCATTTATAATGGTAATAATGATTGATAACAAACAACATGTTGACAATGATGATGATACGATGAAATGGTGATAATGATTACAACATGATGATGATACGATGAAGTGATGACGATGATTAAGATAAACAAACAATCAATTTATTCTACTTTTGTCTTATTCTATTGATTAATTCATCTGCTTTCAGGTATGTTCTATTTGTACTGTCATCAAGATATCTATTTACTTTAGCACATTTTTGCAGGAAAGCTTTTTTATTTATTTTATATTATTTATATATTATTTAAAAATTAAATTTTCAATATTATGTCATATTTGGCGTATATTCATCTTTTCTATTTAGAACATAAAAATATTTTTTCAAAATGATTGAAAACCTTTTTGGTGAGCTCCATAACATTTAAATGAGCTTATTATGCTTATGACGAAAATTTGTAACAGATGACGAAATAATGCAAATTTAAACATTAAGTAGGCACACATACTTAGACGCACACACACACAAAGAGAGAAAGAAAGAGAGAGAGAGAGAGAGAGAGAGAGAGAGAGAGAGAGAGAGAGAGAGAGAGAGAAAACGAATGACGACCTACTCGAAGAAAAGACAGGCAAACAGTCAGACAAACACGTGCATACACAGCCGACATAATAAACACCCACCCACACACACACACAAACACAAACATACACACACAAACCACGCACACACAAACCACGCACACACACGCACTGACACACCAAAACATACTCGGTTGGAAGATCGGCTGCGTTGAAACTTTGCCCAGGTACTTCCAGGTGTAGCCAGACCGTCCTATCTCTAATGGGTACCATGCGTGGGTGGTCTATGAAGTCCTGGTACATATTGTCTGAGTAAGGTGATGGTGACGATGTTGATGATGATGAATATGATGATGTTTATGATTATGATGATGATGATGAGTATGATGATGATGATGATGAGTATGATGATGATGATGAGTATGATGATGATGATGAGTATGATGATGATGATGAGTATGATGATGATGATGAGTATGATGATGATGATGAGTATGATGATGATGATGAGTATGAT